CGATTTCAAGAAACACAAGGAAGAAGTTTCTGCCTAGCGCTAAATGCTATGCACTAATTAATCTCATGGGGAGGGATATCTGCCCTCTTTTCTTGATCTCAACAATAACTGGTTGACAGTTACCCTTTCCACGTTTTTCAGTGGTATCTGGCTGTATTTCACATGAAGTGCGTTTCTTTAAGGTTATCTTGGTCTGTATATTATCGGGGGGAGGGGGTAGAAGAATCTTCCAAACTTGTCTCGTGTGTGTGAAAAGGTCACCTATCTGGAAAGAAATGGGTCCGGAGTTCGGCGTGCGAAACCAAACTCCACAGGACTTCACTGTCAGAAAGCACCGGCTGCTCACGAAGAGCCCTCGGTGACGCACATAGTCCTTTCGTTGTTTCGCCGAGCGCTTCACAATATATAGAACTGTTTGAGAAATCAAACAAGCCCACGACCAGAGTGCTGAAAATTTTGCGGTAAACAAGGGGGGGGGTCTGCGCTCTGTGGCAGGACGGAGTGGGTGGTCTTGATAGCAGGGCGGATGGAGGAGGGAGGAGGGGGGGTCGGGCGCCACAAGTTTTAGGGGCTTTTTGTGTTAAAAGAAAAGAGTCCCGAACATCTTTCGGATAAGCTACAGCGCCTCGGCTTTCCTCAGCTGTAAGGCCGTCCTTAAAGCCCCGCCCCTCGCTGTTAATTGAGCACTCTAATTAAAACCGACACGTGCGTTTATTTGTGCAGTCAAAGCGGATAGAAAACTCGATTGCTTTATCTTGAGAACGGAGGCTGTTTATTTATTTTTTTAAAAAAACAACCAGAATGTTTTGCTTTATTATCTGAAATTATTTTTCCAGGTGCGATTTGTATAACTAGGCATTTTCCTGCTGTCGTAATGTTTTCATCCTCGTTGCTGCTAAGTAATCGTCTTTTCTGTGACTGGTCCACCAAAAACAGCCCCAGTGTATTCATTACTCTGAACGACTTCAAGTTCACTTCGCTGCGCCAGTAATCGCGCTGCCGGCTACCCTTAGCAATGCAAATTACCCCAACTGCTGGATCAGCTGGTGTCCGAGGGCTAACAGACGCCAGACACTCCTTTACAAATGCAGTCTTGTTCGGACTCCCGCTGAGCATCGCTTAGCAAGGTGATAACACGCACACGTAGTTCCCCACATCTTGTAAACGCGGGTGGGAAATCGCCCACATTCTCCAAGAGGTGCTAGATTCCGCAGGCATCGCCACGCACAGACGCGCATCAACGCCTTTCCACCACAATTAGCTGACGTCTTGATCCAAAAAGGCTCACAACAGTCACTCCGTAGTTCCCTTTGTTAGGAAGCCCTACCACGCGGTTTTGTCGCATGATTTCCTACAATGACATCAGTAACTGGTCTTGTCCCGTTCGGGATGAAACATTTCTACATTCAAAACACAAGGCTCGCAAAGCGAAGCCGTGCGTCAGAGTTCATGAACTGGAGCGCAGCATGCAAATATCTGTGCGCTGAAGTAGACTTTCCAAACAGTGCCCAGGTGTCTGAGTCAGAACGCGGCGGATCTGCCCTTTCTCTTTCCTTACATCTCACAACCACAGAGCTTCAAATGATCTCGCACCTCTTCACGGGCCGGCTGCCTCCCTGGGTAATTATCTCCAGGCACTCTCGTTACCATATGTACTCAGTGTGTGTGTGTGATGGGGGGTGAGCTGCCGACAACGGAGACTTGTGAAGCCCACGAAGTCAGATTCGGGTTCAGTTTTATAGAACACAGCAACGCTCTCCGGTACCTCAACCCAAGAATGACAGAAGTCCCTTTCCAAAAGAAACCGTAGGCGAAACTCGTCTTGAACAGAACAAGAGGTAGATTATGTCGCTGATGATGCACTTATTATCTGAACGAATTTCCGTCAGGTGCCCTAATGTAAGAATAAAACTGTATCTTTAGACAAAATGTTCTACCACCCCAAATTAATAATAAAAACAGCTCCCAGGTAGCCACGGTCTAAATCTCTAGATCTCTTCACAAGTTTATTTTTTTTAACATTGCGTGTTTACCAAAACGCACCGACAGCGTCTTCAGTACTGGTTAGAAACCAATTTATTTTCAAACAAACCGGTTTACGATTTTAAAATAGGAAAAACAATACTCGAATTTGGAACAAAAACACAAAAGCCATCGAATCCCAGCTTCGATCTGGGAAACTTAATATCCGAGTGCAGTAAGACGAGACTCGGTGTGCTGAGGCTCTCCAGGTGAGGTAAACCCACAGAAATATGTACCTTTTTAAAATTCCTGGGCAGTGTTCCTCCGGAGTAAGCCAGCGTCTTGTAATTGTAAACGTCCGAAGCGTTTTTGCACTTTTCCACCGTTCCGTAGGTGTCCGAGGCGGACGACTGGTAGACGTCGCCGCTGTCGTGGTGCGAAGGCAAGCGCCCTGGGTCGCTGGAGTTGACTTTCTTTAGCCTCCTGAAAGTCATGTTCTTCATGTTGGACTCCCGGTTAGCAAATAACACTAAGCTCTTTCCTGGCGGGGAAAGTTCGCGTAGCTCAGAAAACACGAGTCCTCTGTCAGTATGAGCCGCGCCGTGGACCCGGTTCCTAGCTGCCTCTACAGCTGCTTTTGAAAGCGCAGCCCCGGGAGAAACTTTTTGTGCGCAGTCTGTTATGGGCGGGGTGAGGAGGGACGTATCTCCGAGGTTCCTCTTTTTCAATGAAAGACGAAGCTTTTGTTTTCGGACTTTTAAACTCAGACCATGCTAAAAAAAAAAAAAAACACACCGCCCAGAACGCAGTCTCCTGCGAATTACAGCATTTTCTGAGGAACTAATATTTAAAACGAGTGATGTATTCCGTTGACTCTGCGGTGCTGCAGAGAGACTCGATAAAGAGTAGATCCGAATTGGCTACGATGAAACGCGTTACTGCTGTGACAGATTTGTGTTGAAACATCTTTCAAGAATGAGTTAGACGCTTAAAAACATTTCAAAAGCGACGGGGCAACACGATCTTAATATCGCCGTCGATGTCGGAATTCGCTTCTAATTGGAGTCCTGCCTTGTGATCACAGAGGTGCACAAAGAGAGGGGCTGGAGCAGAGACGAGTGACTTGGCATCGAGACGTGCTGGGTTCCCGAAGAGCTCGGGGGTTTCGCTCCACACCGCTGTAAAGCCGTTCTTCTAGAGCGCAGCAGTAAAAAATAATGCTGACGACATTTTCTTAAGCGAACGTTTCTGTTGTTCCGTTTACAGACAAAGCGCCATAGACGTACTTATCTATATAATTTCGTCATGGTCAGAATTACTATCGCAGATGTCGCCGCAAAGCCATGCCTTTGTAATATTGCCATTTGTTGCTTGATTAAAAAAAAAAAGTTTGATAAATACAGGTACCCGCGCGACCCTTGGGATGAGTTGCTCATTCCCCTTTAAAACAACAGAACTCCCCAGAAATTGAATAAAAACAACTGCATGTGTCCCTCCGAGTTGCCAGATGTTCACAGGGAGGGGGTGATGAAATGCAGTACACGGGCTCCCCCTACTGTATGTAGTCGGTAAAGACAAAAGTTGCGCTCTGAGCGTTGTTCAATTTTTAACACACGGTTTTCATTTACATTATAGACTGGAGTTTGATTACTCCGAGTTATAAAACCTCAGACACTTGAGCTAACAGCCAGACGGAGCCCCCCCCCGTCTCTCCTCCTTTCCCTGAGTAGTCTCATTCGTCTTCTGAGATTGTTTGCACATGTATGTAGGTTATTTTATATCTCGCACCACACCAATCGGACCGGGTAATGTGCGTTAACTGACTGCGCCAAGCAGAGAGAGTTAAAGAAAACCCTCTTTTAGGCATGCCACACCAACGCCATCTTTGACAGCTTTAAGCCGGTTTATTATGCTCGTGTTTTCCAACCACAGGACCTAAGGGGTCATAAGTTAAGTACTCTATTTGGGCTGTATTTTGTGTCTGTCTTTAAGAAAAGACCGTTGTACCGTTACGCTGCGCTCAGAGCTGTTACAGAAGTATTACACATGATGTATACCTGCTTGACTTTTTAAAAAAACCTTTCCTGGTCCTGGATGGTCAGTGTGTCTGCACGGTCAGTGTGTCTGCAGGGTGTCCAGTCCTGGTCCTGGGGGGTCAGTATGTCTGCTTGGTGTCCAGTCCTTGTCCTGCAGGGTCAGTGTGTCTGCTTGGTGTCCAGCCCTGGTCCTGGGGGGTCAGTGTGTCTGCTTGGTGTCCAGTCCTTGTCCTGCAGGGTCAGTGTGTCTGCAGGGTGTCCAGTCCT